GAATGTAGGGAAAGGACTTTCAGAGATGGCATGCTTTCTCCTATCCAACCTGGTATTTCTCCTCGCAACTTATTTGAGCTCAGGTCTAAAAATACTAGAGAACTACAATTCCTCAAAGACAAAGGTAATTCTCCAGCAAAGCTATTATCATGCAAACTCAATGTTTGAAGTTTGAGCATTGATCCAATCGAGCTGGGAATTTTACCTGAAAAGTTGTTGCTGGCCAAATTCAGAACATCTAGATCTCCTACACAATCAGGAATCCATCCAGTCAACAGGTTATTTGAGAGGTCAAGGACCCTCAAGATACCACTTCCACTTTCACATCGAAAAGAAGCTGGACCTGAAAACTTATTGTTAGAGAGAAACAAGGTTGATGTGGTATCTGATGAAAAAAGTGGTAATGGACCCTCAAACTGGTTGAAACTCAAATCTATGCTGCGGAGATTGGAATATTTTGATGAGAAATCTGGCAAAAATCCACTCATCTTGTTGTGAGAAAGGTCTAGCAATTTCAAGTTGGAACGGGACAAGTTCCAAAACCAATTTGGGATTGCATCTGAAATTCCGGTGTTCGACATATCTAGCTGCACGAAATTATTTTGATTTCGAAGCCATTGAGGGAAAGGAGGACCCAAATTACAAGACGAAAGAGATATGTCATCTAATTGAAAAGTGGGAGCCCAATTAGACTCAAATTTCAAAGTTAGGGAGTTATGAGTTAAATCCAATACCGTTAATTTGGAGAGATTTGAAAAGTGAGCTTCAGACATCACACCTTGTAGGGAATTCCATCCAACATCCAATTTCTGGAGCTGAGATAGGCTTCCAATACTTTCAGAAACATTCCCATCTAAGCGATTGTTGGCAATCACCAACTCTCTCAATGATGAAAGCATCGTAACATCCGGAAGTGATCCAGTGAGTTGGTTGTCATTCAAGTACAACAAAACAAGTTCAGAACGTTGACTAAATTGTTCTGGTAAAGATTCATTCAGTTGATTCCCAGAGAGATTCAGCTCTCTCATGGAAGTGAATCTTGTGATGTCAGGCAATGAACCATGAAGCTGATTTCTATCTAGTTGTAGAATCTCTAGTGAGCTCTCCACGCATCCAAACAACTGAGACAGCTCTCCACTGAGATTGTTTTCGCTTATATACATTTTATTTAAACTGCACATCTGCCCAAATGAACTCAAATCGCCTTGTAATTGGTTAGAGGATAGATCAAGAATCCTAAGCGAAGTCATGTTCGTGAAAGCATCTGGAATTGAACCTTGTAAATGGTTATGTGAGAGGTCAAGATCAACAAGGCTGTTACCGAAGTTGGCCAACCAATAGAATATTGAAGATGTAAGCTGGTTACCAGAGAAATCAACGATAGCAAGAGATTTAGAGGCGTTTACAAGAGAAAGAGACGGAGAACCGATAATTGAAAGGCCACAAGAACTTAACAATAATTCATGTAAGTGAGGGAGCCTGTTAGGCAATTGCAGCCAGTCAATCGTCTGACTAAGGTTAAGGCCACTCAGATCAAGATGAGTAACACGACCAGTTCGATTGTTGCATCCAACTCCTCTCCATTTGCAGCAATCCCTCTTCTCTTCTTCACTTCCCCATGTTGAAAGAAGAACAAAGTCATCAATAAGGTCTTCTTTAAACTTGAGAAGGGCTTGTCTCTCCCTCTCTATGCACCCGAAAGCTGCCCCTTCCACTCCAGAAATGAACCCAGGAGCAAGTTTCATGAGCAACAGAAGCACAATAAGCACATAAAGATTATGAAACGACTTGTCGTGCTTTATCAGCAGCATGGTCACAAAAAAGGATAATGTCGAAGTGGGTATGGAAGTAATAATTGAGAGCAATGAGAATTTGGTGGGTAATTTTACTTTGAATATCCATTCACTTCACAACTGCCCTATATATAATATTAAAAATACTATTTGAAAATATTAGGTAATAACATTTTCAATTAGAATTTTGGTTTGATGAATTTATTTGGCATAGTGTTATATTATAGTATTTGTTGTTTTTTTATATAGTTTTTTTATTTAAAAAATATTAAAATAATTTTTTTAATTATTTTAAATATTAGCACATCAAAATAATAGTCTAGAATCACAAAAAAATTAATTAAAAATTAAAAAATTAAATCTTTTTAGGACACTTTCAGAATAGAAAAATAAAAACAAAGACAAATGGTTTCAAAGTTTCACCCCATAGCTAATTTATAAATCAAGCACACAACAATATTTTATTTTAACGGGTTAAGATATGACACGTGGGAAAAATAATTTCAATGGTTCAGATGTGGTCGATAGCCTGAAGCTACTAGGCAGAAACCATATACTATTCCTCTGTGGACGTTACTGATAGTATGTGTAAAAAGAAAGATGCCTCAGCTTCCTAGTCATCTCAGCTTCCACGTGAAGTGCAAGTCTTTGTCACTGGAAATTATCAAGAGCATCAAGTCTTGGGCAACGTCATCAATAATAGCCGACACGTTTTCTCTTTCCTTTCTTTTCACTGTTGAGATTTAAAAATATTTTTAAAAAAGTTAATTTTTCTTAAATTAAATATATATTTTAAAATTATTTTTACATAAAAAGTATAACCTAATTACTTTTATGATAAATATTTTCTTCCACATCTACTTCTACAAGGAAACATTATAGTCAACTCGATCTTTTTATAATTTAGAAGTTAAATTTTTTTTTTGTTTAGTTGTTTTAATTAATATAAATGTTCATGTTAATTTGTGTGTACTTTAACTAATTTTATCTATCCTAAAATTAAAAACTATATAAACTTTTAGTGGTCCTAAAATTTATAAAATTCAAACAAGTAATTTCTAGAAAACAAACTTAAAATCTGAATAATTGAACTACATCTCCCAGGGTTTTACTTTATTTCCTTTTAATTGCATTTGTTATGTATGTTGTTTAAGCATAAATATAAATTCAGCACATATAGCAAGGAGGAAAATGTTAAGCAAATACAAACTCCAAATTTAAAATACTTATTTTTATTAAAATTTTTTAAAGAAATCTAAAATTATATATATATTGTTTTCAAGTATATGATCAAATCCTAAAGGCTTCTTTTTCATGCATATTTTCTAAAAGATAAAATAACATTTTTATTATGTTTTAAAAATACAAAATGTATATTATAATTAGTTTATAATTATCTATTAGGATTATACTAAAATACCAAAAATCTCACAACTATTAATTTGTATCCAGAGTATTATGATTTAGTTATAAACTCTAATATTTAGGATGTAAAACTATATTTTTGAAATATACCTTCAAGTACTAAAGACACAAAATAGAAAATAAATGTGATATTAAATTTGAGCTTTAGAATGATTAGAATTTAACCCAATAAGATAGAAACTTTCTCATAAAAAAAAATTATTTTAAACCTTAGATGAAACCAATTAATAAAAACATAACCTAGAAAATAATAAATAAACAATACAACATACCTTAGGTATGATGTCCT